CAGTATTACCATGTACTTTCTGCCTCAGTGGATCCGTTCACCCTGATATTCCATCCTGTTCCATCTGGAGCTCTCATTTTTACCAATAGCATTATGGCTGCCCACCCCTACCACCCCTCTGATTTCCTAACACGCACACATACCTACATGCATGTCCCGTATGGCTCCCCGTGCTTCTGTGCTAGTTCTTCCGGTCAGAACACTTTCCCACCTCTGTTTACTTATGATTCTGTGTGGCTATGTTTTCATGTAGCCTGTAGGATTCAGGCTGTGTCTTCACAGACCCTCACTGAACTCCCACCTCTAACAGTGCCCTTCTTCTGTGCCTTCCTGAGTATCTTGTCTGTCTCTCCACCTGACCCTTGCAAGCTTCACTCACATTGCCAATCTGCACTCTTTGTGTAATGCAGAGAATTAATGATCTCCACTAGTCCTCGATGACAGAACACCGATTAATGTAGCAGCTGAGAATGGAGGCTGTCATCAGTGACGTAACATGGAAACGGCACCTCTGGCAGAAGAGATGGCCAGCTGGTGCACTGAGGAACTCTGGGCAGTTCCCTCTCTCCTTGTCATTCTTCCATCTTGGTACCATTTCCCCCCTTGTTTAAAGTCTTCACTTCCCCTTGTGTTTCCATCATAAATTATGCCACCCTCCTCTCCCCTGGTGGGATGCTCTCAGTTGCAAAATCTGATCTTCTTTAACAGCACTGAGAATTTTTCTTTACAACTTATTATCGTTTAAGATGTCTTTAATGGCAACTTGGTAAATACAATCTGTTTTTACTTATAAAATTGAAAGTCATGAAGTTGACTTGCTAGGCTGAGTTGACATTTTCCTTGAAAATACTCAACAGACTGTGATGCATTGGGTAACTATAACAAAAAGATTCAGGTCATGTCTTATGTGAGACAATATTTTCAGAAAGTACTTTTTGGAGAAAAGTCAGCAAAATGGAAATTGTTAAGCCTTTGATAAACTAAAGATTGTTAATGGCTTTCTCCATCTATCCCTGAATAAACTTTTATAAACACATTACACATTGTGACTATGGCATAAATATTTTTAAAACTTTTTTTTTTCTTCTACTGCTCTGACCTCCCTGTCACCATCCCTGCCTAGGCTGCTGAGCTATGTGAATGGACTTTGCTTTATCTCCAGTGCTCAAGCACAGGCCCCTACCATTGAACACACTGTGTCCTCTGAGTGTGGTAGCTGCTACACCCATGTGGCACCCTGTGGGAGCTGTTCCCATTGAAAGTGATGCCACCAGTCCCAATAGGTGATTCCATTTCCACTCCTGTCACTCTAGTCAGCATTTGGAAGTGGCAAAGTAGGTGATAAGAAACATAGCCCTGGCAAATAAGTGACTTTGTCCCATGTCTCCCAGTCTCCCCTGACCTAGACCTAAATATGATTTCATGGAGGCTCGACTGATAGCTGTCATCCCCATGAAGGACCAGACTTCTTGTGTACATGTACGTGTGTGTGTGTGTGTGTGTTTGTGTGTGTGTGTGTGTGTGTGTGTGTGTGTGTGTACAGAGGTCGTCATTGGGTGGCTTCCTCAATCACTCATCATCTTACTTTTTGAGACAGAACTCTGATATTGAACCCAGAGTTCTCAGATTCCACTAGATTGTCTGGTTAGCAAACCTCAGAGATCCTCCCATCTCTACCACCCCAGTGATAGGATTACACATGTATGCCTCCACACCCAACCTTTACATGGGTCCTGGAGGTCAAACCAGGGTCCTCATGCTTGTGCCACAAGTGCCTTACTGGCAGTCATCTCCCTAGCCACATAAAGACCAGGTGTTTTAATGGTCATATTTGTGGTCCCTAGAAAAAAATCTTTCCCAAAAATATTCCACTCCCCCCATGCACACAAGACCCTGCAAACGCATCATCAGAAACACCATTCAAACACCATTCTTGTCTAGGACAAGAAATGCTACACACATTTTTCCCCAATAAAGTGAAATACGGATGTGAACATGCAGCTAGGTTCTGAAACATCAACTTGGACTTATCATAAGTAATTTTAGAATGAGTATTTGGCTGTCTCCTACCGATATTAAAATTTTTCTCCAAAATGCAATTTTTTTAAAAAAAAAACCTACGAAGTCAAATATTTTCAAACCATTGAGCATATGGCTCTGAAGGAAAAGAAACTGGTGTAGAAATTTCTACTCACACAGGATTTGATCCAGATGATCTCAACTATTAAAAGAATTGCCTAACCACCGCCCTCCTTACTAGTTTTGTCATTCTTTATCCAATTTTGATGTGGAGATACAAATTTGGTACCTCTGATTATATGCAGAGCCCTCCCAGAAGACTGGGAGTTTGGAAACAATCAGCAATGATGATTGAATGAATGGCATCAAAGGCCATATAAGGAAACATTCCAGGAAATAAATGTCTATGTTTACTTGAAATATATTTAGCATCAACTCACATGTGAAATGTATATATGTGCATAGATAGAATAGTTACTGATAAACAAATACTTTACTTTTGCATATGACATCTATTATGTTTTGTTCTGTGAAAGACCAGACATCAAGGATTAGGAGGGACCAGGACAAATGATCTAATCCATTTGCCTCCATTTAGGCAGGTTCCCTTCACTATACATGAAATCTTAGATGGTTATCTAGCTTGACAAATTGCTGGCATAACCACACAGGCTATCAACTTCTTCCATGTTTATTCTTACCCATTAGCATTGCCTTGGTGCTCTGCAGGCAGGCAAAACTGCTGCTACATGAGCTCGTGTATTGAAATCTCATGTGCAAACAATAGGGTTGCTACTGTGGGGAATTTAAAGAAACTAGCAAAAACTAAATGTGTTTATTTCAGTCACCTATCAATCAATATACACAATATATATGTGCATATACATATGTGAAAATCTGTACCAATGAAGCAACTTCACAAATATTCAGTTAACATTATACTAACCCCTTTAACTATAATGCCAACTAAACTTCAGACAAGTTAAGTGATTTGATTACCCACTCACAATGGTAAAACTGATCTTGAATTTAGATCTTATGTCCAAGTTTAATATAGTCTAAGATGACTATATCACAACTTCCCATACATGTTATAGCTTCCCACCACTATTTCTTTCCATCTCCATGAGGAACTGATAATCCTAGACAAGGTAAGGCAGGTACACAATGATGGAAGGATGATGTGATGCTCAATGAAAATGAGAGTTCAGTGGATGGAGAGTTTGGTCACTTCCAAATCAGTTGATTCAGAAGAGTTCATGGAGGAAGCCAAATTGACTTGGATTTTGAAAAGCTGGCTAAGATTTGAGAGTTTGAGATGGAAGAAAAGACATTCTGTGAAGGCTTTGCTGGAGGTTAGGACATTCCAATTTAGAGTACAATATCATTAGAGCTGTGTGGAGCACATAATAGATGGAGAAATTGTGTTGAGGAGAAGGGGACCATGTAAAGTTCTGTTACAAATGTTCTAGGATAATGGCAGTGGAAACAAAGAGGATGGAACATCCACTTGAAAGACTTCATTAACTGGTTGGATCGAGAGAGGCCCAGAAAGAAAAGGATGACTTCAGGCTTTTGTGTCTGGAAAAGTGAGGAAACTGACCATACGGTTACTAGTCTGTAAGGGAGCACTGTGGGCTTGCTTTGGGTGCTTAAAGTTTATGGTTTTAGTAGGATTGTCACACAGGATGATATTCAGCAGAGAGTTGAAAACGAGACCAACTCAGAGACGGCAGGTATAAAACAGACATTTGGAAAATACCTGCCTAGATAATACCTGTGGGTGAACTGGAGGATTATAAAAATATAAAGAGAACAGATGGGAGGAAAAGAGAAATGAAGGAATGAGAAAGGGAGGAGGGGTTCCACCTGACATTAAAAATGGTCTCCTTCAGAAGGATATGAGTCAAGAAGCATAGAAAAGGGGGCAGTGGGAAAGGACAGCAAGAAACTGTAGAGCAGCTTTTTAAGGAAGCCAAGAGAAACAAGAAGGCCAGATATCCAGGATGCCTCAGCAGAATGAAGCCTTTCCCAATACATCTAGAAATCAGCAAAATGATAAATTAAGAAAATGTGTACCAAAAATTTATGGCCAAAGGATACAGCCCTATGCCATGAACTTCAAAAGAAGTTGGTTGGTGGAGGATAAAGAAGAAACTTCACATTAGTGGCAGAGTTAATCATGCCAAAGTTACTAACTCTACCTCCTCTCCCAGGAGCAATACAATGGACTAGCTAAATCCAGCTACATTATATTAATATCCGCAACTGAGAGCTTACTGAGATGCTAACTCTACAAGTAGAAAGTCATAGAAAGTGTGGTAATATGGTAGAAATGAACATTCTATCTAAGGGCACTGAGGCCTTTAAGACTACAGAAAAATTTGAAAAAAGTGGGTTAAGAATTTGATGGTATCTTGCTATAAGATGAGAATATACATCTTCAGCTGGGTGAAGAAAACCTTCACACAGTGAGCAAAAATTTGACAAGCTTCACAAGTGACTGTTGAGCCCAAGATTACTAAAGCCAGCACAGCATCTCAGCAAGGCTCTGCCTGCACCACCACACACCTAAAGGAGGAAAATGGATAGAATGCAAAAATCAAGCTGTCCAGGGGATTTTTACAAAAATAAATGTGTTTCAGTTGGATAGAGGCAAGAAGATACCTACACTACATTAGGGAAAATGACAGGTCTGGATTAAAAGGATGGATGAACAAGGTGAGAATTTAGCACCATAGAGACCACACACACCATACATTTACACAACATACACCATACACATGACATACACAACACACATATTATGCATACCATAAATACCATACATACACCACACGTTTATCATACATACCACACACACACCACACATATCACAAACATCATACATACCTCACACACACTACTTACATTCAGGCAATACACTCATACACATTAAATAAAAGTAATAAATAAAAATTTGTAAAAGAAAATTACAAAGAGTGCTTGTTTTGACAGTACATACACTAAAATTGGAGTGACAAAAAGATTAGCAGGGCCTCTGTGCAAGGATAGCATGAGAATTCACAGAACGTTCCATACCTTAAAAAAGGCAGACTAATGCAATCAAAGAGAAGTTAATTGATATTAAAACAGCATGATAATTCGTGTTTCTGAAATAATTCAACAAACAAGAGGGAAAAGTCATAAATGATATGTGAGCAAATTTTACTAGAATAAAAAACAATTCAGCCTGCTGAGTACCCTGCTCTGTGTTGTAAAATGACTACAGACCAGCTATGCTGCCAAGACCATGAATTTCAATGATAAAGAATAAAACTGTCAGCTATCTAGACAAAATGGAAAATGATCACCTGAAGGGGGAATACCAAATTCACTGTAATTTTCCTGGTGATGCTATGTGTTGTTGTGAAAACGTCTATGAGGTTCTGAGAGACTATCAGGACTAGGCAAGATACTGGGTATTAGCCAGGAATTTTCAGAAAAAATCTTTAGTTATATAATTTTTATTTGTCAATTATACATTGAAAATTATATATATATAATTTTTATTTGTCAATTATACATTGAAAATTATTCCAAAAATCTATTATGAGGGCCTTTGTGAGTTTTTTAATTTTGAGTTTTTAATGAGAAGAATATATTGTTGAGATATAATTTATATGCATATTCATGTTCTCATATAGTTAAATGAATCTCTTTTAAAAATAGATTTTATTTGCTAGACTTGGTGATGCACACCTTTAATTCCAGTACTCAGAAGGCAGAGGGAGGTGGATCTCTGTGAGATTGAGGACACCCTGGTCTACATAGCACATTCCAGGCTAGCTGGGGCTATAGGGAGAGTCTGTCTCAAAATCTATCCCCCAATACTAGTTTATTTACTTTTGTTTTATGTGTATAAGTGTACTGCCTGCATATATGTAAGTACATCCATGTCATACAATGTCTTCAGAGGCTAGAAGAAGGCATCGTATCCCCTGGAATTGGAGTTAGGACAGTTGTTAGCCACCATGTGAGTGCTGGGAATCAAACCCATTTCCTCTGCAAGAGCAGCAAGTGATCTTAACGGCTAAGCCATCTCTCTAGCCTCAGTTAAATAAAACTTGAACTGTGTAAACACCATCACTCTGATCAAGATGGGAAATATATTTATTTATTTATTTATTTTTATTTTATTTTATGTGTATGCATGTATTGCCTGCATGTAGATAAGTGCACCCATGTGGTGCAATGCCCGCGGAAGACAGAAGAGGCAGTCGGATCCCCAGGAACTGGAGTTACAGACAGTTGTTAGCTGCCATTTAAAGATAGGGGAAGTTGTCTTCTACTCCTAATATTCAGAGAGTTTTAATGATGGGTAAATGCCACAGTTTACCAAATTCTTTCTCTTCACCTATTAACATGATCTCATGAGGTTTTCCTCTTATTTTCAATTATGGTAAAGTATGCTGATTAATTTTTAAATGTTTTACCAAAGTTGCATCAGTTCACTTGGTCATGATGTCTAATATATTGATATTTGCTTGAATTTCTTTAGAAATTTTCACTGATGTTATTAAAGATGAGGGTATATTGTTTCTTCTTTAATTCTCTGATAATATTTTAAACTTACATTATTTTTTTACTTAACTATTTGGTATTATTCAAAAATAAAGTTATTCTGGATCTTGGGTTTTCTTGAAAGGGAGACATCTAATTATGGATTTGACTTCTTTAACAAACATAGGAATATTTATATTTTTATTTTTTCTTCTACTAATCTCAGAAAGCTATCTTTTTAAGAAAAAATGTCTATTACTATGTTCCCAAACATACTAATGTAAAATTGATTATAATATCCTTGTTATAATACTGTTGAGAACTATACTGATGTTACCTGTGTTTCTCTATGTTGTATCTCTAGATGGAGATGATAGATACAAACACTACCAAGGGCCATTCTGATCTGGGTAACTCCTCAACTGAGGTTCCCTCTTCCCAGGTGACTCCAGTTTGTGTCAAGTTGATAAAAACTAACCAGCACAATACATAGATAGATAGATAGATAGATAGATAGATAGATAGATGATAGGTAAATAGATAGATAGAGAGAGAGAGATGATAGGTAGATAGATAGATGAGATATATAGACAGACAGATAGATGACAGGATTACTGCATGATGTGTAATGTGTAATCAACTGGAGTTTGGATCTTAGAACCCACCTAATAAGCCAGGTGTCCTGTGAATGCCTATAACTTAGCTCTGAGGGGGGATAATGACAGGAGGATTACAGGAGCTTTTTAGCTTCCATGTGAGTGAGAAAATGTGAGCTCCAGGCAGAGAGAAACCTTGCCTCAAAGGAATAGGCAGAGAATGATAGAGGACACCTGCCATTCTCTTCAGACCTCTCTGTGTGAACACACAGGCATTCACTCACACACGAACACATACTCGCACAGACATACATATACAAACATACACATTGATAGATTAGATAGATGATAGATAGATAGATGATAGCTAGATAGATGATAGCTAGATAGAGAGATAGATAGATAGTAGATAGATAGATAGATAGATAGATAGATGATAGACATTTCTCCTTATTTTTGTGGGCTAGGAGTAAACTCAGGGCCTTGCACTTTTTAGACAAGCATTTTACCACTGAGCTACACCTCCAAATTCTTCTCTCTTTTAAAAATCAGCCTGTGAGCTTATTATTAATGTTTAAAAGTCAACTGTTGCCTTTGTTGACGTTCCCTGTTATTTGCCTGTTTTCTAGTCTGTTGAATTTTGTTTCTATATTATTCCCTTCTACTTACAAAATTTCTCTTTAAGAATGAATAAAGAGGGAAGGGGCAGATGCTGAATTGTGTTGAATCTTCACAACTATTAACAGAAAGGATGAGAGTCATTAAAATTGGCAAACGAGATCATCGATGACTTCTCAAGAGTTTTATTGGGTTTTCTGCATTTATTTTTATTATTATTTCTAATACATTTTATTGAATTTTTGTGCATTTTATATAATAAATCTTAATCATATTTAGACCTCTCTTTAATCCTCCCCCATAACCCTTCCCTTCACCGGGTTTCATGTATTTTTTCATATTTGTTAAGGTCTATTAAGTCAAGCTTTTGTATTTAGATGTCTCTCAGTGCAAGTTCATTTACTGGAGTCTAGTCAGCCTATCTAGAATCATTCCCTTAGAGAAGATTAACTCTCCCTCACCCAGCAGTGATCAGTTGCCAACAGTTCCTCAGCTAAGGTTGGGGCCTGCTGCCTATTTCCCCAGTTCTATGCTGGGTTTTTGTCTGACTGAGTGTGCATGGGTCTTGTGCATACTGTCACCATTGCTACAAGTTTATATGAGTAAGTTCTCAGAGGCCTGGGAAACTCTGTTTCCTTATGTTCATGCACCAATTTTGGCTCGTACAACCTTCCTGTCTCCCTCTTCCACAGTGGTCCCTGAGCCATGGGTGGGTGAGGTTTAATATTGGAATCCTATTCAGGCATATACACTCTACAGTCTCTTATTCTCTACACCACGGCCAGCTGTGGCCTTCTATATACATCTCACTCTGTTGCATGAGGAGACTTCGCTGGTGAGAGTTGAGGGATGCATTAGTATTCTTTCTACTCCCTATTTCACTCTGTTCCATGAGCCTTAGATGTAGAGAGGTTCCACTGAAAATGTATCACTTAAGGGTGGGAATCTCTCAGACACATTTTCTCTGTGTGTGACCAGTTGTGGAACTCTGTAATAGCCTCTGTCTGTTGTAGAAAGACACTTCTTTGATGAATGGCATATAGTGTACTTCTCTGTAATATAAAGGTCCATATTTAGCATACAGTATGAAATTTCATTTGTCTAGAGGTATGACAGATGTAGGGTTTTCTCTAGAATCTACGATCTCTTCAGCCATGTGTATTTGTCTATGTACTCAGTGCCACCCATGAGTTCCCTCCTGATAAGCGGGCTTTAAGTTCAATTAAATAGCTGTTGATTACCCCTAAGATAAAAGTGCTACTACCGTACTGACTGCATTTGCTATGCCTGCCATTGTTGTGGTTATTAGGTTTTAAAGTTGGAGCTGGAACATTGATTGATTTTCTCCCTTAGCAGCTTGCGTAGTGTCCTCCAAAACTAGTCTTCAGGGAAGAGGCTTCCAGGTCAGTTCCAGCTCCATTGCCAGAACCTTTATTGTATAAAGACTTGGAATGGTGGAATGCGAGTCATTGTAAAAGAATTGTGCATATTGATCATGCAATCTGTGAACCCAATTTCTTTTGAAAATATTTATTACTTTCTACTCCTGATAAGACACACACACACACACACACACACACACACACACACACACACTGTGATTCTTGAAGGGAACCAAAATCTAGCTCCCATTAGAGACATGGAAAATTCTAACCACATACTGAATAGCAGGGACACAAGACAGTCCATCACAAGTAGCAGCAGGAGTTGCAGAAACACTAAGTTTCTGAGAGCATGGATGAAAATGGTGCTGGGGAAGGACAATATCTACCTGGCAGATTGGGAAGCACAAGTTCCAAAGTTCAGAGATACCAGAAGTAGCCTCAGTCACCTCTGGCTGGTTAAGGATCACTCCCAGCTCTATAACCCCAAATCCACATCCCAGGCCTTGGGTGAGATTCTGTGAACTACCCCAAAATGTAATCAATTCATTCTCTGCTGAAATCAGCCAGCTTTAACTCTGCCACTTGCAAACAGGTGCTGTGATGTCATAAACCAAAATCAGTCTCCACAATGCTACATTGGTTATTGGAACTAGTGCTAAATAAGTCAGGTTCCTCAATGAAACATAATATACTCCCCCTGAAACTTGACTTTGTCTCTTTAAAAATTGCTTAAGTCCATATGTCATGGGTCACATTAGTTAGTAAGAAACCTCACTGCAGATATAAACAGTGCAACCTTGACCTTTAATTTTTTGAGTAAGGCAGGCATAGACCTTAAGTCTAGAGGAAACGGTACATGTTTTTGTCTTTTTAGGAGTTAGATCTGAGCTTGTTTATAAGATAACAAGTAGGAACTAATAAAGAAAGAGCAATTTGGACAGAGA